AAAAGATGTGATTTTAGACCGAAATTGGTTTTACATCGTCACATTGGTCATAATAATGCTTATGAACCTCTGCAATGGTGTCTACCAGAACTCGATTTATGGAATTGTGGCCGATTTCCCCGACAACTATCCCAATTCCATCATCATCGGAAATAACCTATGCGGAATTTTCACAATTGTTATGAGCATCTTCACAACTCTCGGTGCGAATTGAATTTTTCCCGCAGTGATATTATTACGGCTCTTGAATCATACTCCTTCCAGTGATGTTTCAGCCTCTCCGGACAGTATTAAACTGAATGCACTGCTGTATTTCTCTATTTCTCTAGGGATTTTGATTATATGTGTTCTATCACTCATTTTACTCGTGAAACTGGTAAGGTACTTGGATAATACATATTACATATTATTTTTCTTCATAAACAGTAGGCTGCAGACTACGCCCGCTTCATTGGCGCACTGACATTGAGTTTTGTTCATTTGCCTTCATTTGAGGCAGTTAGGTTTCCCAAAACTAAAACAATTTGTGGAATAATGTTATCAGGAACGTCCCGCTTACCCTTGTTATAACATCTGCTTCAATAGAACTTTCCATTCACCTCTCTTAATTCTCAGGGCATTTTGTTCAAACGAGGTGTGGCGCAACTCTGGCTTTCTTATTCATTATTGTTTACCTACCAATATCAAGGTGCAACGAGAATTTCATATCGGAGCCGAACGAAGAAAGAAAAAGCAGAGTGAAACGCTCTATGAATGAATTACCCATGCCCATCATCCAACACAGAGATTGCAACCACTTCCGAAACTAACCTTATGTTGCTGGGCTATGAGGTCACCTGTTATGTTCTGTCCTGGTATAGATTAATCACGCAATATAATCAGGGTCGCTGGTTTTTAAAATCCTCCGCGAGTCTAGGCACATTTAGGAACGTAATGAGAGAGTAACATAGTCCAACAAGCGAAACTTCGAAAGTTACCCAAAGTTGATATCTCACAGAAAGTTTCCTGGGCATGGTATTAGAGCGAATAGCTGCAAAAGCATCGTTTAGTTGTCAGCTCTTGCGGAAGCTCATGAGCTCTAGAGAGCTCTGCAACTTATGATCTTGAGGACAGCGTGCTAGCGGAAGCGCTGAGGTTGAGAGAATCCAACCGAAGCTTCGTCTCTATGTAGTGATTCGTTTACACATTTACCTTTTCTTTTAAACACTTTTTGGTAGCCCCTAAGGATGTGCAAGTTGAGCCTTTCGTGTAGTGGTACGCAAGAGCGGAGCGTGTACACAACTCACAGGATGATTGACAAGGTCGAGGCACCGAGGCACAGAATGGAACACTGGCTCTGACCCACAGCATTGGACACACCTGCAATTCCATGTTGCTGTTCAAAACAACAACGTGGGGAAACTGAAGTTCAGCTGATATTTGGAAGGTTGTAGGAGATCACTTAGCAGTTCTAAACGGCGAAAGTGAGCACTTAGGTTTACGCAGCTACCAATATCGAAAACGTTGTCATTCATTCTAGTGAACATTTAAAAGATAAGATTTTCCGTTAATCTTTTTTCACGCTTGGCATTTTTCTTCTTATGGCGTCACAACTATGTAGCTCAGTTAAAGGCAGCGATTACGCTGGGTTCTGATTGCGCTTGGAGGGGCGTGGGAGGCCTCAATAGTACACCTGTGGCGTAATATTGAGGAAAAAAAGCAGCGATAATCCTTTAAGGAAACGGTAAACGGGACCCCTTTTGTCGCCGTTGATTGCGGCTCTCAAACGGACAGCGGCGAAGACCGCGCACGCGTGGACGAAATTACGCAACGCATGCTGGCACCATGCCAAACCATGCTCTAGCCGATGATACATGGGTACAGGATACGTATCGCTTCTGAACAAAAAAATCATTCTGGACGTAGGTTTTGGGGACAAAAGTGAACTGCGGATAGAATACAAATACATACAAATACAAGCATGAAATTCAACAAAGAACTGATCCAACAGCAAAAATACAAACAATAAAAATGTGTGTCCGCGAAGGATCGGCTCCACAACTCAAAATTGCCAATAGTTCTATAAAAAAAACAATCAATAAAAATTTATAATGGAAATTACATTAACAGGTTTGGAATATGATCGCATAAAACTAAGTCAGCTGCCATCTAAAACTCAAGGGATCATTTCATTTTCACTTACGATACCCCAGATTACAAACAGCAGGCATGACGCCCCAACCGCGCCGCTGGCTGGCAACACAGCTCGCCCAAGCCACCGAGTGAACCAGTGGGCGTAACGCTGCTGGGGCGGAGTGCTGCGGAGGTCCTGCTCAGCAACCACAGCACCTTTCGCCGTGGAAGCGCCACACATCGCTTCCTTGGCAGCCAAGTAATTGCTCCGTGTGGCGCAGGTTCTCCCCGATGCGAAAATTCCTTATCGTAATCGCTTCCTTTAAGTGTTGACTCTCACACAAGAATGCCAGTCATGTCGCATTAAGACATCAAACCTACGCTAGTAAAAAAAACAGGATATTCTAGAGAGAATTTGAGTCATGAAATTCTTTGTTGTTTTCAGTAGCGGTCAAAAGTTTAGAGCAACTTTACGTTTGGAAATCAAGAACCGCAAACAAAGAATACGATTTTTTGAAAGAAACGGCGCGTCACAATTGTGAAAATCCCATTCAAAAACGAATTCAGCTAAATAGCTCTATAATAACATGAAAGCAGTACTTTGTTAAGTACCTGTGAAATACTATGCTGACATCAATCTTGGGACTCTCAAATCGGACTCTACACATTACGAACTAAAGCAATTTGTTTGATGGTACCCACCGGAACGTGGATTGTACGACATAGCAGCTCTTCAATTGGCATAGAACTCCATAAAGTTCAGATTTTGACTGACTTAATATCAGCTTTTTTTCTGGGTTTATGAACGCGGTAGCGAGGAAGTGGGTCTGCATCGGATCAATGTCGAATAAAAAAACCCATATTTTCATCTAGTTCTGACTATCGAAGGAAAGCATTGTATTCTACAGACTATACTTGTACTTAGCCCAACCCACATTTCGCTGGATACCTAGAACTGGGGAATCGCCGAATGGTCGGACACATCTTCATCCATGACAATACTTCCACTATTTCTGACTGTTGGAATCTTATACTCAAAATGAGGTTCCATTTCGACAGAACACTTCACAGGGCCCACAACATAATTACAGGAAGGCAGAAATTCTACACGTCGCTGGGCACAAATTTTTACCTCTCGCCTTCGAGTACATTAGCGGCTAATTTTCAAAAGTCACTTGGCCATCCTTCTCATGAAGCGCAATAATGGCTTTCTCTTGGAGATATCTTCCGAGATATTCGCCTGTTCCCGACTGATGTTGATTTCTGCATTTGGACTTCAAGTGACTAGAAAAGAAAATCAGAAAAAAGTCGATTCTGGGTGGAAGATCTCTGGAAGACGAGGTGTGCCAGCCACCCTTCAAAGTCCTTGAGAAGCGCCAATTTCCATGTGAGAACATTTCGTGGAAGGTCTTTCTCTTTATGCTTGCTCGACTTCGATAAAGCTGGGAGCATTTGATAATTGCATTACAGTAAAATCTAAACCACTGAGATAGAATTTCAATTTCGTTTTTCGGACTGTAGGGTTGAAAGAGAGCTCTTATATGGGGATAGTGTCTTCTTTTCACATTTTACAAATCACGTTAATATTTTCTTAATTCATAATGCAAATCTCGCGATAATTAGTGCTTGAAAATAAATCAAAAACAGCATGCGAAAAACTGAAAAGTAGGATTTATAGTCGTAAGGGAAACAAGAACTTCCCAAACTTTTGACTCCAATTTTTCCAAAAAACTCCAAATTTTTGACCACTGCTGTGTCTGTGCTGCTTGCGGCATTTTTTATGCAGCAAGTAAACTTTGAAATGTCCTCTCAGACATACTACCAACAAGTTATGGCGATAGCAGAATCCGCGCGAAAGGATGGCAATGCGGAGCGACCCAGTCTTGCCCAGTTTTGGGAATGCTTCTCATACGTGAGTTCACTACAGTACAGTTTTTTAAGAAGACTACTTTTCACGTCAGAACTAATGTTAATGTCATGTACGTACATTCAGTGCTGGGTTCAACTATTTAACAACTTCTTCGTTTATTTTGTGACCCTTACTATTTTTCCTGCTATGATGACCGAAACACCGTACTACCTGGAGCCAGGTGAAACGTGGGGATCTATTTTTCCAGGTAAGGGTTCCCTCGTACACGTTTTGCGCTTTCGTCGTTGTCGGTGCACGTAGTGGAATCGTCCACACAGCATCCCACACTTTGAAAGTTTTCCATATTAACCCATTGCATACTATCCTACTATATATAATTCGCTAAGTATGTCTGTGTGTGTGGTCTGTGTGTGTGTGTCTGTTGTCACGAAATTCATAGCGCGCTTCGCTGCAACAGTGGAGCGCTGTATTTTGAGTATGTTGTAGGGGGTGGGACGGGAACATATTTGGTGGGGGAAAGTGATAACGACTGATAAGATCCGATAAGAGGCGCCAAAACGCCAATTCCACGATATCCATAGCGCGCGTCCCAGCATCAGTGAGGCGTTGGTTCCAAGAAGTGATGTAGAGGGTAGGGACGGGAACATCTTTGGTGGGGGACCAAAGTGATAACGACTGATAAGATCCGATAAGAGGCGCCAGAAACGCCAATTCCACGATATCCATAGCGCGCGTCCCAGCATCAGTGAGGCGTTGGTTCCAAGAAGTGATGTAGGGGGTAGGACGGGAACATATATGGTGGGGAAAAGAAAGGGATAACGGCTGATAAGGGCCGATAATAACGATATGCGCAAGAATATAGAGGTCACTCAAAACCAGACTTTAGATAAAGCATTTCATTTCAATATTCTTTCATTTGCGTTGTTATCATCAGCCCGAAATACCACTAAACCGCTATGCCCCCCAGAGTTCCTAAAAATGTATGGTGTAAGTTCAAAAATACGATAACGAGTGCTGGATGTTTATATTTTAACATCACACACAATCCGACCGCTAAATTACACTGGCATTCGATGCATGGTGGTTGTTTACACAGCTCCGCACTCCACTGCGCGTATCAAACGGTGAGCTTCTGCTAAGATAAAGAGCTTATGTTAGCGGTGAATCTAGCGCTTTGTCGGCTGTCCTGTCTCATCCCGACCTTCCGTTTGATGCGCGCGGTAGCGTGCGGCGCTAAACTGGTATACTATATCCATCTTTCTCGCGGTACAGTGCGTTTCATAATTATAAGCTCCCCCTCAAATTTTGCAGTTCCAGAATAAGTAGCCATTTAGGAATTTTTCTAGCATTATCAACGGATTCCCCAGCACGAATAACCCCCGTTTCCAAATTTTGGCAGCAGCATCATTTTTCTGAACTTTTTTATAACAGTTTTTTCAATTTTACAGCGTTTCATAATTATAAGCCCTCCCTGAGAAAATAAACAATTAATTATGGAGGACAAGAAAATTCGTGTTTCAAGGGACTTGTAAAGGCTAGAATATGTAGCAAATGCATCTCCAATTCTTATCACCAAATGGCTCGGGGTCGCCTGCTATCTTCTGATGAACAGGCTCAGATTAAAGCTCTTCGTGAAGCTGGGCTTAGTAAGAAAGCCATTTCCAGACAATTAGGAAGATCTGTCTGCTCCATTCGAAGAGTATTGGAAAGACAAGACGTCTACAGATGCAACACAAGCTCTGGACGCCCACGAAAGATTACAGCCCACGATGAGCGAAGAATTCTGAGGGCTGTTTCCAACAGCACCTCCTCATTGAACCAGATACGATCGGAGTTAAACCTTTCCGTGTCAAGACTACGGTTTGGAGAGCAGTGAGGAGAAGCGGGCACATTGTCAGGCAAGCTTTGAAGAAGGCGCCACGGAT